AAGTGGTAGTAAATCATCATAAAGGTCTTCATCCTGATAGTATTCATGTTGAGTAGGCTGAGGAAAAGTAAGAGGGGTTGGTCTGGCTGTTTCAGGGGTGGGAGAGGCAGAAGAAAACCCATGTGCAAGTAAACCTGTACAATCCTTGTTGTTCAATGGTCCTTCAGACCTGTGCTGTTCAATGGCCAACTGTACAAAGGAAGCCCCAAACTCAGTTTGGTGTCAGTCTTCCTTACATTGTGAAACTGAGCAGTCCCATCTTGTTGCCTATCTGAATACAAACATTTCTCATGCTGGATAAAGGCACTCAAACCAGCAGGCATACACAACCCTTAATGGAAGTGGACCGAGTACTCAGCCTCCCTCTTATCAGCTGTGACAACTTAAGACAAAATTAGAGCAGTAATAAAGCGCTCAATTCACTAATCACTAAGTACTTTCTCCTTTGGTGTCTTGTCTCCTTAAGACACAGGGAACACCTTCCCTGTTTTGGCGGGGTTGAGGGTGGGTGTGTGTGTTTCAGAGAGGTCAGGTCTCACTATGTTGGCCACAGCTGGCCTTGGAACTCCTGGGCTCAAGCAATCTTTGCACCTCAGCCTTCCCAGTAGGTTAAGACTATACAGGAATGCACCACCATGCTACAAACCATCCCAATTTGTTATCTTAACCAACGGTGCTATTTACCTGCCATAAAGTAAAACACAAGTCCCTATTCCTTCCAGATTTGCATCTGGTGAGAAGCTAAAAGATTCACTCATGTTAAGCCATCGTAATCTGGCTTAAGAGTTGTTAGCATAACAAAACTTAGTAATGCAAGAACACGACTTAAAGCAAATAGTATTAATGCTTCAAAAAGTCCCCTGCCCCCACTTCCCCAGAAGCCAACTGCTTTTCTTTTTAGCTGTTTTTTACCTTTATTTCTGAATAAGGTGTTCATAATCCATTTGCCACTTCTAAAAATTTCCTTATTTCTAAGTTTTACTCTTATACCTAATACCCACCCATCCCCACTTCATGTCAGATAATTAAAATATTCAGTGCTGCTACGATTATAACAAGGTAAATATCACATACAGTTAAATCATGCTATGGTCTGAACATTTATGTCCGCCAAGAATTCATGTTAAAATCTGAATCCCCAAGGGGAAAAAGAATTAGGTATACCTTTGAAAGGTGATTAAGCCACAGAACACAGCCCTCCCTCATCAAGGGGATTCATGCCCTTACATAAAAGAAAACTCCAGAGAAATCCCTCACCCTTCCTGCCTTCCAAACTCAAGACAGAATCCAGACACCAAATCTGCCATGTCCTTGATCATGGCCTTCCTGGCCTCCAAAACTCTTAAGAAATAAAATCCTGTTGTGTATAAGCCATCCAGTTTATGGTATTTTGTTAGAGCGGCTCAAACAAAGAAAAGCCCCATATTGGCCAGGTGCAGTGGTTCACACCTGTAATCCCAGCACCTTGAGACGCCAAGGCAGGTGGATCACTTGAGGTCTGGAGTTCGAGACCAGCCTGGCTAACATGCTGAAACCCAGTCTCTACTAAAAATGCAAAATCTAGCCGGGAATGGTGGCACGTGCCTGGAGTCCCAGCTACTCGGGAGGCTGATGCAGAAAAATTGCTTGAACCTGGGCGGCAGCGGTTGCAATGAGCCGAGATCACCAACTGCAATCCAACCTGGGTGACAGAGTAACACTCAATCTCAAAAACAAAACAAAAACCTATATTACAGTATCTCAGAAGTTTTTGGTTTTTTCTAGTTAATATTTACCATAATTTTTTCATTTCTCTGTATTTCATAACTCAGCTCTGAACTCTCCAAGCAAGCCAAAAATGTCCTATGTTCAAATAGCTTTTTTTTTTTTCTTGTCTGAGACATCCCCTCTTACAAGTGTACTTTCTCCTGCTTCAACCTGGACTACTGTTCTCCAAATCCACTGCAGAAATGGAATCCTGGGACTTCCCATCACCATCACCCTGGCAATTGCCTTCGCCTCAGAATGAGATCACGTATAAAAACACAAAAGAACTGAGAGCAAACTGACCTGGGTAATCTGAAATAGCACTTAATATCACAGTGCCAATGATCTCTAACTGTTCCATACCTGAGTCTACTTTAGTACTAATGTACTAGGGTAAGGACCCTGGTTTAATTTAGCATTCAACCAAGTCAACCCCAATTTTGAGGATGCCTGGAAAACTTTTTTACAGACAGGGTCCCACTGTCACCCAGGCTGGAATGCAGTGACGCCATCTCTGCTCACTGCAATCTCTGGCCCCTAGCATCAAGCAATCCTCCCATCTCAGCCCCCTGAATAGCTGTGACTACAGAAGCAAGTCACCACAACCAGCTCATTTTTAAATTCTGTTCCCTTTTTTTTTTTTTCTGAGATGGACTTTCACTCGTTGCCCAGGCTGGAGTGCAATGGTGTGATCTCAGCTCACCGCAACCTCTGCCTCCCAGGTTCAAGCAATTCTCCTGCCTCAGCTTCCTAAGTAGCTGGGGTTACAGGCACCAAGCCTGACTAATTTTCATATTTTTAGTAGAGACAAGGTTTTGTTACTTTGGTCTAGCTAGTCTCAAACACCTGATCTCGGGATCCACTCACCTCAGCCTCCCAAAGTGATGGGATTACAGGCATGAGCCACCACGCCTGGTCTCATTTTTTTTTTTTTTTGAGACAGTTTCCCTCTTCTTGCCCAGGCTGGAGTGCAATGGTGAATCGGCTCACCGCAGCAATCTCCGCCTCCCGGCTTCTAAACTGAGTGAGACTGTCTCAGGGAAACAAAAATAAAAGCAATAAATGGTTTTAAAAAAGAGAAAAGAAAATGGAAAAGGATCTAGTATGAATATTAGCATTAAGCCAGGCCAGATTCTGAGTCATGATAAAACTATTCTTAAGTCAGGATTTCAAAGCAAAAAGCAAGAAATAATAATAGAATCAAGAAATAAAAAAATTTTGAGACAGGGTCATTGTGTCACCCAGGCTGTAGTGCAGTGGCCTGATCTCAGCTCACTACAGCCTTGACTTCCTAGGTTCAAGTGATCCTACCAGCTCAGCCTCCGGAGTAGTTGGGACCACATGTGCACCAGCATGCCCAGCTAACTTTTTAACTTTTTGTAGAGACAGGTTTTCACCATGTTGCCCAGGCTGGTCTTGAATTCCTGAGCTCAAGAAACTGGCTTGCCTCGGCCTCTCAAAGTGTTGGGATTATGGGCGCTGAGTCACTGCACCTGGCCAAGGAGTTAAATTTTAGGCCAGGTGCAGTGGCTCACACCTGCAATCCCGGCACTTTGGGAGGCCAAGGTGGGCGGATCATGAGCTCAGATCAAGACCATCCTGGCCAACACGGTGAAACTCTACTAAAAATACAAAAAAAATTAGCCAGACGTGGTGGCACGCGCCTGCAGTCCCAGTTACTCAGGAAGCTGAGGCAGGAAAATAGCTTGAACTCAGGAGGAGGAGGTTACAGTGAGCCTAGATTATACCACTGCACTCCAGCCTGAGTGACAGAGACTCTGTACCCCCCCCCAAAAAAAAAGCTTGTTTTGTAATGCAAAAATATATCCATGTTTACTATAACATGTCACTTCTGAAAATCCTTCACTGACCATCCCCATCTAAACAGAATTCTCTACTTGACATTTCTGCATTGTCTCCTCCCTCAGAATGAGTTCCAGAACTCTATGCATCCCCAACACTTAACACCTTCCAGAGTATCACTCAATAAAGTATTTGTTGAATTAATGGTCTCCAAAGTTTGAAATTTGCCAAGCCTACCCATCAGAACAAAGGGTAAACTGACAAGAGTAAAAAATGGGGTCAGTAGTGGGTATGTCCTTTAGAGAAAAAGAAACCAAAGTAAGTACATACGACCCTCCAAGAGAAGGGGCAGAAAACCAACCCAGCCAAGAAAGGAACCAACTAACAGAAAAACGTTTGCTGGGAGGATTAAATGAGAATACATGAAACACCCAGCACAGGTTTCACATACAATAATATTCAATAAATTACATGTTGTATAGAGCTGTTCAAATCTTGGCCATCTATGATTAGAAAGAATCCAATAGGAGGAAGCAATTATAGTTAAAAAAAAAAAAAAAAAAAAAAAATCTGAGACTCCATCTAAGTAAAGACCAGCTTCCTTATCACCCCATCATCACAACCTGACTTTCCTCAAAGTGTAATGCCTGGCATACAGTAGGTGCTCAGTATATGTTGAATGATTCTGAGAAACGCTCTAACTAGACATAGTCCTACAACTGCAGAAACTGAAGCAAGAAGTTACAGACAATAAAAACATACAGAAGACAAATACTGTTTCAAGAGAAACGTGAAGCTAAGAGGCAGCAGCTCTTGCACTCAGCCCCATCATTCAACAAGACATCTAAAGCTCCTATGTTGGGTCATTTCTCCATGCCTATCATTTAAAGGCTGTAAACCCAAATAATGAGGTGCTAGTGGAACCATTCAGGTATTCTTTGGATTTTGGCAGAGCTAAACAAATAGAAAGTGAAAGGCATCAACACATGTTACTGAGCTACAGTTAGCAAAATACTCTTGGAGCCAGAGCTTCATTTCTTCACATGGCATGAAGAGCGAAAGCGGACTTCCTCTTCCCCTAAACCTCTCCTTTTCTCTCTAAGTAAGTTAAGCTAGATATGCTGACGGGGTGACTGGAATGATAGTCTTAGGGGAAGGTGGTGACTGTTTCTCTAGAAGAGAAGATCTGTACTTCTTAATTACTAGGAAGTAGTTGAGTTTATAACAAAGGTGGACCAGTGGGGAAAGTCTTCATTGGATTAAGGCTGCCTGCCTGGGCTTCTGTATAACCTCTTTCCTTTGGCACCTACAACTCCTATATACAATAAACAAAATAATTACAGTGACATTGACCCAAAGCTGAATATCTTAAACTTTACACCCTCCCCTTCAAGGTACAAATCAACCCCAAAACAAGCCCAAACAAGAAGTCTCTCAAAGCACACATACCCTAAGTTGAAAAACCATTTATTTCACCGGAAAGAAAAAAGTGATCCAATGCTCTAGGTCTAGCCTTTGGACCAAAAAGAGACCCGGGGCAGTGAGACTCTCACCAAGGTCATTCCCAAATCCAACAGCCGCAGGAGGCAGGAGAGGCAGGGAGGAGACAGCACAGCCCCCACCACAGTTTCGGCACACAATGAGGCCTGCTGGGAGAACAGAACATGAATGGGAAGCTACAGAAGTACTGAAGGACAGAAGAACAGGAAAACGGGCAGGAGAGGAAAGGAAAGTAAAGGAAGAGAAGGTCTGAACTTAGCAAGGTAAATTAAGGTCCACGGTTCCTGAGGGACTGAACGCACAGAGCCGAGAACGTCCCGGAGATGGGGTACCACGAAGGGTGTATTCTCATGCACAACCGCAGCTCGGAATTTCAGCCCACACACATCCCACCTGAAAGAGAGCACAATACAGCGGCTTTACAGCAAAGCTCAAAAGGGCTTTCCCATTTAAAACTTCAACATCTTTACAATGTCTGATAACTTGACACTCCTTTTAAGTTTACTTGTACCGTTCCCAGTATCACAGTAATCTGTATGAAAAGAGCCTGAAGGCCAGAGATAACTGGGGAGGCTAAACAATCTCAGACTAAGGTCTTAAATAGCAAATCTTGTTCCATCAAAGTACGCAAAGACATTCCATTGCTCTTGATGTTAACATGTAGCATTCCTCAGAGAAGGTAATTCAACTGTCACAAACTGTCAATGGAGGACAGTAAAAAAGGAAAGGTTCCAATTAGCTCCCTAAGGTTAAAAAAAAAAAAAAAAAAAAAAAAAAAAATAAAAAA